GTACATTTACATTGTTTAACTAAGTCTTTGGGTAATTCACCTGTTTCATTTTGATAACCAAAAGCTGTGATATCCAAATATTGATATTATTGAGGAAAAATGGAACTTTTCCATATGTACGTTTGTAAAGAAGCTCTTAAGACGTGTAATTTCAATGCATCGGACGCGCATGGTATTTTACTTAATTAATACCCATTCCGCTACAATGAGAAAATTGGGATGTTTAAACGGGGGGGATGTTTAAACTTTAATTTAGGTACCTGGCAACATGAAAAATAACAATTTTTAACACAGAAATCGGCCGTTGAAAATCGTCATTTTCGCATTTTTAGCAAATTAAATTGTTTATAACTTTAAAACTATCAATTTTCATCATATTGATTCATGTTAAGGAACATCTCACGAATCTGAATATGCAAAAAATCGAGTCGGAAAATTTCTCCCACGAATGCGAGGTTTTCGCCTTGTCTATGTGGTTTTAAATACATTTATAAAATCATTACCTACTTCTAATACTCATGATGATACGAACCTATAATATGACGCAATGTAAATAAGTACACGTATCTCTAATTNATAGCGCTTTATTAACAATTAAAAAACAAGGTTTTAGAATAATGCGAGTCCCAAAAACTCTTCAGCATCTTGTAGGGGGATGTTTAAACTTTAATTTAGGAACCTGGCAACATCAAAAATAACAACTTTTAACCCGGAAATCGGCCGTTGAAAATTGTCATTTTCGCATTTTTAGCAAATTAAATTGTTTATAACTTTAAAATTATTAATTTTAGAGGCATTTAGAGACATTGAAGCTTTTTTGTTTATAATGTGCAAAAAAACCTAAAAAAAAATTTTCCGGAGTGAAAAAACCTATTTTTTCAATTTGTTTAAAAAAAGTTTGTTTAAACAAATGGGCACCAGATTTCCGGCCGGCATCATCTTGATTCATGTTAAGGAACATCTCACGAATCTGAATATGCAAAAAAATCGAGTCGGAAAATTTCTCCCACGAATGCGAGGTTTTCGCCTTGTCTATGTGGTTTTAAATACATTTATAAAATCATTACCTACTTCTAATACTCATGATGATACGAACCTATAATATGACGCAATGTAAATAAGTACACGTATCTCTTAATTAAATTAAAAACGAGATATTTCTAGAACCCTTTCACCATAAAAACTTATCAGTTTTCAGTTCATGTATGCAACAAATTTATATTGTTATGTAAAAATTAATGGGAATTTATCATGAATCCTAAAACATATATTGTTACATCTTACTATCTAACAGTCATTTAATTCATAATACCGGATGTCGTTTATAAAAAAAGATTAATTGTTGGATAAATTAAACAATTTACGCAGTGATCCGCTGCTTCCAACGAAGAATGTTCCCCGTCCATAAGAATGCGCGCACGTATTACATCATTAAAAAAAAAACAAGTTTCTTTACGTTACTTCGTTTCGGAGCAGAGAGCAGACGAGTCTGCCGCTCACGATTAGGAAATAATATAGTTCAAGGAAATCGGTCTACACTTCTGGAAATCATTGCTTTGTATATAAATGCGTGAAGGGAATGGAGGATGATTTAACATATGTTTCTGAAAGCAGATAATTAAGTTAACTATAAATAACGTATAACGTTTTAAGTTGTACAAAAAATGATATAGACCGACAAAGACAACAATAAATTAATTAATTATGGCAGTACGGAGCAGTTTTAATTCATGATGAAATTATTTCTAAGGTAATGTAATTGTACGACATGGGATTTTGACTGTTTCACCACTTCCTAATCATTGCATCAGTTACTTATGCTTTAAGAAAAGCAGAGAGCAAATACCGTTTGGTGTTTTTTAATAATCATGATGATATACAGCCTAATTCATTCACAATTTTGGAAATTGTGACGCGTACAAAGTTGCAATTATGTACATACATACAAAAATATTGCATTCTCTCTCGAGTGATAGCTTTAGTTTTTTTTGCTATATATATATATTTTATTTTTCGAATAATTTTATAATTATTATAAGTATCAGAAACAACCGGTGTTATTAAAATTTTTGTTATTGTAACATTGGCTTGTAACTGTACAAAATTAGGTTCTTGTTTAAATTTAAAATATTTTTTAATGTAATACACCTTCGCAAAAACCAATAAAAAGGATAACCGAAAATGAAAAATTTAATAATGCATCAGTAAGAAAAAAGATGTCACTGTCTTCAGCCAAGAAAAGGAAGATTTAGACAAATTATAATTATACCAGTCGATAGGTACAAGTTATGTAATATGTGAAAATGTAAAGTTTCTAATTAATTCTAATTATTAAAAGCAGATAATTAAATTGGAGTTTTCAAAAAGTGTCAATTTTACTGAGTTACTTTCTTGAATAAAACATTATCTTTTTGTAATTTTGTATAATATAATTTAACCAACTTTGTTTTTTTTTTAACTTAGTATGTCTTCTTTAAGCGAATCATCCTATATATATATATATATAGCTTGTAAATAGATTTTTGGAAAATAATACAAAAATTATTTGAAAACATCACCGATTACATCATCCTATAAATTATAAATCATTCAAAACTCTGAACTAGAAATAAAAACTGTCCCAACTTTTTTTTTCCAGAAAGTTACTTGATTATCGGTTTCATGCATTAGTTACCTTTACTACCTATTCTTAGTTTAAGATTAAGTTGCTTAAAAATGTACGGTTCATGTTAGAGATTTTAATTTGATTTAATAAATGAGTCATTTAACACAATCCTGTTTCTAATAAAGTGTCACTTATTTAGCGTCAATAATCTGGCAATACTTGCATCATCCTGTAACCAACCTAAAATAGTTGTTATTTGCACATTTTTAACTGTTGTTTCATGGAATAAATTTCCTCAATGCATTGTTTAAATAATATATTCTCGATTTTATAAAAAAATATTTATTTTTTTGTAATCTGAGACATAAGGAGATACCAATGTTAGATGTGCACTGATGAAACTAGGGCCAATGAGTTTTCTAATTTTATACCCTTCGAAAATAAAAAAAATGTCCAGCAAAAAAATTTTTAATTGTTCGATTTCAATTAATTTTTTTGTAAACTGAAAGTATAGTTATTTTCGATGAAGATTCGACACATTATTACTAAAAACTTGAAAATTTCGAAGACATTAAGTATTTTGAATAAGTACCTATTAAATAAGCTCATTTAGTTCTCCATGATACTTCTAAGAATAACGATATTTTTCGTTTATTTCATATAGGCGCTATTTTCGAGATATTATTTTTTTACATTTTAAAATAAGCCTAACAGTTGGATAAATCGAAAATTAACTCTAAAACTAAGTACATATTTCCTATGGCTATCAACCAAATAATGGTACATGAATAATGCCAGTAATTTCTGTTTTATATTAAGTTTTTCTAAATATTGTACATAATTAGACAATGGTGTTGTGTAGTACTAAATAAGTTTTCTTATTCTCTCAGGCTCTCACGCTTAAGAGTTGACCTTGGAGTTCTTCACTGGTTACCAAGGAAGATGATAAACCCATCTTAAGCGAGTAGATGAAATAGGCACCGTAATATTTCTTTCATAGACATAATACATAATTCATTCAGTAACTAGGTACATACATTTTTAGGTAGGTACCTACTATGATTATGAGGCAATTTCAAAAAGAAATTAAGTCTCCAATTTCTTCAAATTACAAATTCGAACTTGTTTGATAAGACAAAGATGATAATATTAGATCTTTTCTTCCCGGTGCCCACCCCTGTTCCCTCCTGGCTACGTCCATGTGAATGTCTGCTGTAGATAGTACCTAATTAGAACTAGATATTAATTTATTAATAAAAAATTGATCAAAATATTGATTTACAAGGTCTTCCTAAATTGTCTCCCGAAGTTTAGTACATCGGAAAATACTTTTACCTTTTTATATAAATATAGAATATAGGGAAAATACATATCCCATTTTCAAAGGAAACTGTAGATACATTTTTGCGCTATCTTGAACATTTTTTAAGTTATCTTGGTTATATTTTAAACTTAGATTTAGTGCACCTGAACACTTATTTGCATAGGACAGTGCGGTCGCAATAAGTAAATATATGAATTCGTATACCAATGCTTTGAAATATCACATTTCAAATAATTTCCATAAACCAAGTTATGGTTTGAAAATATATTGTCTTGGAAATTTAAATATTAATAATGGCATTTAAAAAATGAGGCAAAGTACCAAGAGACAATTTAAGACTAGGTACCTTGTATGTCAGGGATACTCGCAGAAATTTGTTGGGGGAGGGAAGCAAAGGTAAAAATATTAATTTTTTATTTGGTGACACTTTTCAGCACTGGCAATGAGTGCAAAACTATTACAAGCCATATGGATGGCCATGATTATTGATACTATATTGTAGGAGACGTTGTTTGTTGTACGGTAGAAAATACCTAACAATTGTTGTAAGACGATTATGCTGACAATTATGTAATGGTAGAGCAAAGACCACATATAAAAGAACTCGCACATCACATGACTGGTATTGTTTACACTCCTAAATCGAAGGCGTAAACAGCGTTAGGTAGTCCATATACATGTATGTAGGTAGGGTAGGCACTGTAGGAAGTGGCACATTAAATTTCCATGAACTGAGACGAGAACTCCCTGTGTCCTGAGACTCCTGAGTATCAAAAATATAGCACAAGACAATCAAGACAATGTTTATGAATACGAATGGAATGGGTGCTCATAGGTACCCATAACCGTCCATACTCACAGATTTATAGAAAAGCAAAATACTTAGAATTATGTTGAAAGATTTGTAAAATATGTAAGGCACGGAACACTCTAGAAACTAAATAGCAGCCACACTGGTGAACCCGAGGCAAACTCGCGTCGTAAAAAATCATACGATCCACGTAAGCCGTGTAGAGCGCAATCGCAGATAAAGCGGCTACGTGACCGACAGATGCGATGGAAACAGGGAACAGGGAAAACGAAGCGACGCTGAGGCAGTCGGAATTTAACATCAGTGGAGTGTAGAAGCAACGATGGGAAGATAGTGCAAACCAACGATTCTTTTCTTTGTGCCTAAATAATTTAAGTGACCGGCCGTTCGTATCTTAATTATCAACATATCCGTTTGACGGTGCAGTTTACACGGTTTCTGTTTACTTCTTTTTCCATACACGTACATCTCGAAAAGCAACAAACATGGTTGAAAGGATAATAGAGGAATCTGACAATTACGGTACGTAGAAGTTAAATCCTTGTAGTCAACTTTAGATTCGTTCGATTAAACATAGCCGGCATAAATATCCAAAATGCTAACCTAAATTCTTTTGTTTTAAAAGCGTTTAGCTTCGTTCATGATCTAAGTTGAGAACTCTTTGTTCCTGATCCTGGATGATGCTGTCATGTTTACCCTCATAACACTGTTACGGGGTGTTTTTATGACCCACAAACCACACGGTAACGTTTTTTATATGCCTTATTCCTTAACCTAAATTGTTTCATTAGATTTAATTACATAATGTTCTAGAATAAACAACGGTCAAACCGGTTTAAGGTTTGTTTATTGACTCGGTTAAAAAATTAAGTACATGTACGTCAATGGGAACAGATACAGACACTAATTAAAAACATCATAGTGTTTGGTTGGTTGATATGTATAAAATGAGAAGGACTCGCGGAGATAAGTGTTCAATAAAAATATTTTGCGTCTTGCGTCACCTAATCGATGATGTATTGCCTCTACAGTGTTAAAAGTAGAGGATATCTTAGTTATGACATCTTTGATTAGTTTCTAATCACTATATCGTCAGAAGACGTTAATGCGTTAATGACAATAAACATTACTCATGATCTGTTGCAATAGCCGTTTTACGTTAGGAAACGTTGCAGAGGTTATTGCCTCCGCTGTTGCTTTTTTATGCATGTTATTTTCACTTCGTGTGCATTTAGCTTCATTAACCATTCGCTAATTATTTTATAATAAAAGTATTGTGTAATCCACATTTCCATATCTAATGGTTAATTGTTTAGATTGTCATGTTTAACAGTTTTCCCTTTTGCAAAAGAGTAAAACCTAGTTTAAATTAAATGTTTTTTTGTTTCCTTACTTTCCCGCAGAAAATGATTTAAGCACATAAGTACTTATATAAAAGTTTGTCTTTTTAAAAAAGTCCACAATTATTGGTTTGTAGTAGTTCTACATCACAATAATCTATTAACAAAAATGTAATTTTTACGCTATACCTACTAAAGGAATGTAAAGGATGTTATTAATTATTTTGTAAGGGACACCCTGTATATCTTATTTGAATAAAAATTAATTGTTTGTACTTCAAATTGGTTGGAAATCATCATCAATGTGTGGCCGAGTATGTGGCTTATACTGTAATAAGGACTTAAATATTTTTTAATATTTGCATAAAATTACAGAAAAAAAAATACGTTTAACTGTTTACTTTCTCCTAAGTAGGTATATTAATTATTATTTATTTATTTTAATATATATCGTTACTTAAAAAAAATATGTATTTATGTACTTGGATATTTGATTGTTAAAATGGATAATGGATAGAAAATATGAAATCAAAATATTTAGTGTGGGTATTATTTTAACCCTGAATTTTGTAATTGAAATAGGTGAGAAATCTATAAATTTTACAAAGAATATTAAATACTGTAGTATCTACAAATATATGTTCTTTTATCTGTATCTAAGCAATTTTTTTGCCCTATGACTCATTTAATGGCGAAGTTTACCTAGTTTCTTTGCACGCGATTTGTTAATAAATCTCATATTCGAGGAGGTGATGCAAATGTATTTGCCTAATTTATTTAATAGTTAGGTAATTGTGTAAATATTAGTATGCCATGGAATAATGACACATTTGGAACACAGTGTTATAGTTTGCAAAAATGCAAAGTAATCCTACTCAGTAAAAAAGAAACGGGAATTACAAAAAATAAATCCAAATATCATTCTCTGTATTAATCACATAAATGACGTCATTTTAACAATTCCGAACCAAATTTGAAGTACTCATTTGCATAAATTTACAACTCGGTTAGGTCAAGCACTTTCTTCTCTAAATGTTACCACTCGTTGTTCCAAAAGAAGTTTGGTGGATTCGATTGTTCAGGGTTATTTACGTATGCTTCTTATTTATTTCACTTTTACTTCACTTTAAAATCGTAAAGGACATAATTTAAAACTTCCTTGTGATTCCATAACAATACTTACGGAGGAAAATTTAATCTGAACCAATCTTTTTAAATTTAAACATCCTGTATATTTGTATAGTATTGTTAAAACTGTCTGTAGTGCAGTGACAAAGTTTGAGAGTGTAGATAATACTAAAATAACGTTTAACAAAATATTGGTAGATTTTGACCCTTCCTTATTTCGATGACAATTAAAATTCCAAGGCCTTATACATATAAATATCGCAAATAAAAACATTTTATTTGTACCGATTATTGGCAAATAAAAGATCAAGACGGATATATCGCGAAAATGTGTTAAACTTTCCAATTTTAAGTCGCATGTGTCCTGTTTTTGAGTATAAAATAAACACGTCTAGGAAACAAAGAGACATGGCCAATACACTCCTAAAAATAGGTACAAAACGTATTTTTTATATAAACTTTCGACGCATTTTCGTTTGCCGGTGCCAAAACATATGCGTCTTTGGAACTGCCTTTGAAATTTTGTTTATATCCGTTGATGTAATGTAGTTTTACATTTAGGTACGTTGATTACGCTTCCAGTATTTTTATAACTACCTATCTTCAGAAAACGCCGCAACGAACATTTTTACACTATAAAAACACGATTTTTTACTTAAGCAAAATGGAAAGTTGTTCTAGGTTAGTTGACAATTATTATTGCTTAGATAAATACCTACACGTTCTGTACTTAATGGAAAAATAGTTACGTGGAGGTCTACGTCCTCGTGGAAGCTTTACTTTATGTACTTATATATTTCTGTAAAATGAGGCTTTCTTATAATTTGTTATGTTTATTCAGTAATATTTATAAAATGTCCAAAAACCTGTATAATTAGAAAAATCTTTCAATGTGTTTTTAATACATTTTAATATATTTTTAATGAAAAAATATTATATTCATAGTTTTCCCCATTTTTCTTAAAGTGCGTACTAGATGGCTTCACATTATTTAAAAACTATGGTAACTTTTTAGAATTAGAATGTTTAAAATTAATTTTACATTTATACAATTTTATTTATAGATTTTAACCTGTAATTCGTTTTAAAATTATTTCTCAAAATTTATATTGATTAGGTAGCCTTCGAAAAAACCAAGTCACGTTTGGATCATGTTTTAAATTTATTTTAAGCGGTATCTGGCACTCACCACTCACCCTACTACCTACTACGTGTATTTCTCGTTTTTTATATTCTATCGTGCCAATATTTCTTCGAAATATTTTTTGTGTAATTCTCTACAACCAAATAAACTCGCCAAATCATTGCTTATATTTATAGAAAACTAATGGATATTTTTTGTTTTAACACATATCCGTTAATTTTTATATCGACACGATGGGAAACCTTACGACAATAAATATAAATACCTTTTAGTATGTGAGACGTGCAATAAACATGGAATGTATTAATTATTATTGATACACAACTTAGTATTGTGCACAGAATATCAACTATTTATGGCCATTGTTTTCTTGCCACTCGGTACTATTTATACAATTCAGTCGCCTTACAATGTTCCCGAAAAACTAAAAGAGAATTCGGTTTCACTATTATATAAACAACACAAAAGAATAGACCTCATTATATAAAATAGCAGGTTTCACAGAACTAATGCATTTTTAAATATCGGAACATTTTTGTAAATATACAACCCTCTATATCGTAAGTTACTATATTTAGCATTGTTGCGAAATGTCTTGCTAAAAAAATGTAAAATAGTCATTGACCGTTCGTGATAACTGATAACAGTGCTTATTCAGCTATTGGTAATTATATTTCTGCATACAGTTTGTTCACATTTGAACTTGACACAATTTTATTCTCACGGTTTCTGAAAAGTTTTATTAAATAATGAAAGATGTTTGTATACTTGGAACACCATGTATTTTTTGACTGAAAAAGACATAGGTACCCAATATTTATTGTTAAATGTTATTAAATTTAACATTGTAATGAAATTGGATTAGGTACCCATTATAATACCAAAAAAATAATCTGTTACTTGAAATTCTAGATGAAATGCCCACTTTTTCGTCGTTAAATTAAGTTTAAAATTTGATACAATTCTTCACAAAGAAAATCCTTTTAAGGATATTATCACGGAGGACCGTTAAAAGTGTAGAAGAGATAATTCAGTTAATACAGAATTAACGGCGCTGATAGAAGACAATAGCAAGACTAATTCTCGCAGGAAATTGTCATCTGTAACAATTTAAAATCAAAGCATGTAATTTGCATGGAAACAAAAACTACGGATTAGTTCCGTGAGAGGCGATTTTGTTATTGAATTTGTCATTATAGCTATTATTAGTGAAAAGATGTGGGGATTAAGTAGAGCATAATTATCCACTTCCAGTGATGTATAACCTTCGGAATAATTCTCGATCCAATATAGGAGGAAATATAAACTGGAACTGTGACTGTCATTATCAAAAAAATGATTCTGAAGATTTTCTAAAGCATAATCTACACGCTGTGTATTTAGTTGAATTTGAAATGTTTGTTTGATTTCAGCCTTTGTATTACACAAAGTTTCGTCTTTGATGAGCTCAATAAAATTAGCAACAACTTTACTTTTGGTTACGTCGGAATTTGGCATAAATTTAATGTGGAACCCATTGTTTTGTGGCACATTAGAAAAAAAAAATTGTAATTCCGATGATGAGAGGGATCAAATCATTTCGAGAAAAAAGTTCCTAATTTACATTTTTATAACTAGTTTTCGACAAAGGGTGTTAAAATTGTTGAAGAACAAATATCTCAAAAGATTAGCGATTTAAGTGAGTAAAAGAAAAAGTTCACATCAATCAGTGAGATACTTGCAGGGGCCGTCAATGAAACCGTCAAAATTTTAACGCAACTGAGTATATTTTAAAAAATGGCTATCGCGTCTATATTATCCAAATGCACGAGTCATTTTTTGTTATTATCTATTAGTTTCTGTTTTAGTTTAAAATAACCTTATGTTCATCTAAGAATATGAAAATATTTCGTTTCACAAAAACAAAAAATATTTTTTTTTGTTACAAATGCAATTTTAAATGTTATATATTCATTATAAAACTAGAAAACTTAGTGAACTAGGAATTTGCTCAGTTGTTATTCAGAAAATTCAAAATCTTTAGGGTAATGGTTTTTTTATATACATATTTTATTATAAGCTTTCGTAAAATAACCTTCTTCTAAGAGAATTGAAAAAATTCATATTGATTCTAAAAATGTTTTTGAAATTCTCATCAAATGAAGTCATATACGTATACTCTCATACTAAGTATTTGGGTATGCTAAAGAAGTAACTGTATACAAAATTAACTCTTCTGTAAAATAAAAAATCTCCAATTACGAACAAAAAAAAACATGTACCTACAAGTGTTGGGTAGTCGCCCACCCATAAATTTTACAAATTTTTTAATTGATTTGTTTCTGACGAAATATCAAATTAGTTACTTTTACAAGGAGCGCTTTGAAAACGAAACATTGCACAAATAATTTTGACAGCTCGGTTAAATTTAGTTGAAGAACTAAAATCGCTACGTCAGGACATGAAGAAAAGACAGATATGCTTCAAATTAATTAACTAGTAGGTAAGTTAGTTCTTCATATAAAATTTGCAATTTTATTTCTCTGCAAGTCGACGTTACAATGAAAATTGAACAGGACTGTCAAAACTTGTGCAATATTTGGTAGTTTTGTTTTCAAAGCGCTCTTTGCAAAAGATAATTACATATATGATATATCGGCGAGTACAAACAAGCTCGTAAAAACCATGTCATATGACACATCATCGTAATTATTATGTATAATTTTTTTTTGAAAAATTTAAGGACTGCAAAAAAGATCTTTGTGGCAATTCGCGTAAATTATGACAAACGATATTAAGAAATTTTAAAGCTGATCTACCTTTATGTATCTACTTTAATGATAAAAAGGATATTTGATGATTTGGTAGTGGTTGAATAATTAAATATGAAAGGACATAAATAATAAAATATTACATAAAACGATTTCAAATCCGATACGTTTGTATATTAACGCTTTACAGGCTTGGTCCTAGAAGTTCCCATTAACGAGGCTAACGACCCAGCTAAATCTGTTTCGTGATGCCCGTTGACGATCTGGAAAACATCGAGAATAGGTAGCCTAGTCAGGGACTGTTTTAGCCTAGCTTCACTATAATTACCTTGCTGTAACAGCCGCAATTAAAGTTTTATAGATGCATATGAAGAGACGCGATTTTAACTGATGCCCACCTATCGGAAAAAAATATGTGTTGCATGGGATAGACATTCCATTCGGTGCACCATTGTTAATTACACTTTATACAGGGTCGGAAACTCCCCATGGTTCATCGGCCGTTACGTGAGAGCCATAAAGAAAGTCGTAGAAATCCGTGCGAAAGAGAAAGATGGCTATAATGAAGACGTCTAATAGTCACCGCCCATTTCGCCCTTCCACAAATCCACAAGATCCACTTCTTATTTGTGGAAGGGCGAAATGGGAGATGACTATTAGACGCCTTCATTATAGCCATCTTTCTCTATCGCACGGATTTCTATGACTTACTTTATCGCTCTCACGTAACGGCCGATGAACCATGGGGACTTTCCGGCCCTGTAGATAGTGCTCTAGCTCAGAGTCGGTACTAACTATTTTTTAAAGTTGAAGGAGAAAAATTTCCCTCTTCAACTTCAGACGCCAGTGGCGTACTATTCATTTTTTTTAAGAGTAAGATTTCATAAAAGTGTAATAAAAGAATTTTATTGAATTTATTTCTCATTTTAATTTCAGCTATTTAAATTAATTTTTTTTTCTACATAGCCTTGTAAATTTCTCATACTGATATGCAGATATATAAATATTTACCAAATTGTTGGAGATAACCCTTAGACCACGCGCTTGATACCGAATAATTATGCCTTTTCATGGGAATCGCGGTTTCGATTTTCTTGTCGTCACCGCCGATAAGCAAAAAATATTCCTTCAAGTTCGAAATGTTATGGCAGATCAAGGTTATTTTACTGTGATTAGTTCTGGTTCAAACTAATTTTATAAATATTCAGAAATTCCCAATATATTTTATGTAATAATAGAAACGTTGTCATTTGACTAAATTGTCTTCTCATATTATGCAGGATGGCTATGCAAAAATTGATATCGTATTCGTTTACTATTTACCCCAAACAATTAAATACCGTGTTAGAGAAACATACTTCTCTATACAGAACTCCTTATATATTTTTACATATTTGAATAGAAAGCTTCTTAAGCCGATTGCAGACGACGCGGACACTCGCCAAACATTCGCCACAAACGCAAATGTTAAGAAAATAACAATTTCTTCTGTTTTTTCTGTCACATTTTCGTGTGACCACTCTATACAATTAAATTGCAATACATTTTTTATCGAGTGAAACTAAAATTTGAGAAAGTTCTCGCTGGAGCAAAGCGTTTAGAAATATGTTCCACATTTTGGGGCTGTAATGCATTGATTGTGTAAGACTGCATGCCAATTTCATAAATAGTTAACACATTAGATAAAATACTATGAAAATATCTGGCTAGATCAAAATCACCTTAGCTCTGGCTGCGAGATACACAGTAGCGAAGGCTATAGTGGATTCCACTCTATTCCCAATCGTCACAGCTGTAATAAAATATCTACTTCTAATAGAGAGATAATATATTTCATACATTACACTAATTCATATTATCAAATACTTCTTTTTTTAGAGGTAATTTACTAAATGATAGTAAATAAGTAATTTGTTCAGAGAACGCATATGCGAATACTACATACGATCATAATATCAAAATGAAAAGTTCCAACAGCTACTACGTATGCGCAAAACCTCCCTGAAAGAGAACTTTATGGCTTCTGCCTAAAGGGACATATCATAACATGAAAGAGTACCTACTGTTTATAGAAAAATTAGAGTGAAACGTTTTTTTTTGTTTCAGATTGCAACGGCGGCGTTATCAACAACGGAGACAGCATCGGGGGATGCAATGTTGGCGGGGGTAGTGCCTCCGACAGCGGGGATCAGATGGACGCAGACACCCGCGAGAGGGAGCTTGCCCGCCGCAAGGAGGAGGCCAAGAGGAAACGCCGCAAAAAGAAACGTACCGGCTCTTCTGTAGTTTCGTCCTGCTTCCAAGGTAATTATAGATTATTTCACAGAGATCAGTAGACGTACCTTTAATTATCTAAGCCGCTAAATATCCAGTTAGTAATAACGAAGATAAAATAAAACTTTTATTCAGTGCACTGGTAGCTCCAGCTTTATGGTCAAGACAAAATCGTATTTTTACAGTTCCATTATTCGTCAGATTTGTTTTTATTTCCACAGTAAACGTAAACAATTCCGGAAGAAGTAAAATAGTTCCAACTAGGTTTTCAATGTACCTTTTTTTAAATCTTTACAGATAATGTCAGAATTTTCAAGGTTGTAAACACAAAATCCAAACAAAAAATATCAAAATATTTCATTTTATTAAATGATATAAATCAATATTTCAGCAATGAAAAAAGGAAAATACAAGGTAACTTAGTTTTAAATAAACACATTTCATAGATCGACAGAATTATGAAAAATAATAAGCTTGTTTTATATAGTTTTTCTATAAATAATGGTAAAATTTTAAAACAAATTGTTGAACATTTTGAATCACTGGAGTTGGCTGAAATAAAGAAAGAGTCGATAGAACAAAGAGACTAATAATTTTATTTTCATAGTGTCCCTTTGAATGTTTTTCTGTGAAACACGTTGTTTTACTGTCGATTTATTCAACTTCGTGGTAAGTTTAAAAAATAATGAAAAAATAACCTGCTTAATTTTTGTAACTATACAGGGTGATTCAGGTTTAATCTGGATAACTTCAGCAATCGATAGAACAGGCTAAAATAATGTTCATTCATGATATAAACTTATTGCCTAAATCGCATCGTTTCGGAGATACCTAGGGGGCGTTGAAGTAGGAATTTTTTCCTTTTTCTTAGCACGAGCAATGCTTTTGAAATAATACTTTTAACGATGATTTTGACAAACGTCAGTTTATACAAATCATTGTGAGTTTTATTTTTCATGGGTTGCTATAATATTAAATGAAATTTATGCGTCTAGGGAGCACTGTCACGGGTTTCATTGAATATCTCTATATCTATTTTGAAAAAGTTTCAAAATTAATAAGACAAAAGTGGTGTGCAGCTGTTTTGTTGAAATTAATTAATTTTTTTGAAGTTTTGAAATAATGTAGGAGGGGGGTAGGTGGTTCAAACTTAAGAAGCTTATGTAAGATCATAAGGAGTGTTTGTGTTCCGAATTTTACCTCAATCGAATGAGTGGTTCAAAAATTATGAGGGAAAAGCGGGAAAAAATTATATTTCAATGCCCTGTATCTCCGAAACGATGCGATTTAGGAAATACGTTTATATTATGAATGAACATTATTTTAACCTGTTCTATCGATTCATGAGATTATCCAGATTAAACCTGAATCACCCTGTACATTTTTAATAATATTTAACATAATGGAACAGATCTTTCTTTGAAATACAGTTAAGAATCAACACTGACCAAATTGCTAAAATGCTTGTTGCTTTCAAAATTCTAAGATTTTTAGTAGCACTTAGCAGTCTCCCAGTATTTCCGCCACTGGTTGACACAATTATATACAGATTCAGTAAATTTTTACCTATACTTACTTGGCTAAATCGCTAGCCTAAATTTCATCAGTTTACATCAAACATTTTTAGCCATTTGTGTAAATGTTATTTTTTAAAAACTCCGCAAAATCTTAAGTCCTTTAAAACATTTCTCTTTCAACAAATTGTCAGTGCAATTATTTTTCATATATAGAATTATTGTCTACCTTTATATCTCGGTTTGTACTATCTCATTATTTTAATATTTTCTGATAAGTATATTTGCGTGCAAACATGTTTATGACTCAGACAGGAACATTCTGGAGGTCGTTGCATTTTTATCAAGATTCGACCCGGCAAGGCCTAAAAAAATTGAGCTAATATTACAGTCTTATTATGGTAACAACGTAATGTAGGCGACCGGTTTACATTTCTAGAACTAATCCGACCCTTCTGCACAAATTTCCGGAAGCTTCTCCTGCATTCAGGCCATTTGGACCCTCTTGTAAACCCTTGGGCCCCTATATTTTTGCCCTCCTAACTGACTCATTGTTTTCTCTCATCGAAAGCTCCAGAACGCCTTTTTCGCCAACAATAGTTATTGCGTAGTTGTATGTTTTTAAGACTGATCAATAATACCGAATTTTTTTTTTTGTGTTTCCGTTGCCCTCATCTTCAGTAGGAATTTTCCGTAACTGTTTAATTTTAAGTTTGTATGTCTGGTATACGTCAGTATATTTTTATCTCAATCAAATATTTGCATGCTCCGATTTTTTTGTGGTAAATAGAAAAATTATTTATAGATAATTTGCGTCATCAGATTATCACCGAAAACTCAATACGTAAACATGGATTGTCATTTGTGCAATGGTATACCGAAAATTAGAAAACAATGAGTTCCTAACACTTTTCCGATTGAAACTGTATGCATATGTGTTTAGACAATTTTATTTGTTTAATACGGAAATGCTACCGCAATGGAGAAAACCTGGAAAGCGATAACAAGAGGGATAAATTAAAATGCAATTAAATACCTTTTTTAATAAAAAATAAATAAATAAACGTGCAAAGATCTTAGATGAAACAACGTAGCAATCGGGTGTTTCTATTTACTTTCTGAAATTATTTTTTGTGCAGAAACACCAGAGGGTTGGTTTATATATACATTTTATTCAGCAGAAATATTGTACAAATTATTGTACCTATTTGCCTATTTCTTTTTAATTAATTTCCATTACTCTTGGCTGAGAGTTTAATCGAAACCGGTGTTCCCGCAAAGAAGCGGTATAAAAAGAATAATAAACTACAATTGAAATCGATTGCTACGCTTAACTTCAATTTAGCATTTAAACTTCAATAAAAGCTGTTTATTTAAAAATTGCGACCTCACTATTTACTTCGTAATGCCAACGTCGTGAAAATGCAAGCTGTTATTTCATGATTGTACCGAAGACACGATACCATAAACATAGCCTTATAGTTTGAACTTATGGTAATGCGCCGCGTGGTTGTCGTTGTTGACGACGTACTGTTAGTTATTTCTGAAACCATCTTAATTGCGAGCAACCAGGAAACTGCGAACAAAAAGAGTCATTCCACACAACTATTTTCAACCTCATTTGAATTTCAGTTTTATTAAAATTTATTTATGCGTCAATTCCAAGGTCTTTTTGCTGCTGTTCCAGTCATTTTTACGTGTTTGTTGAACTAGTCGGTTTTTACACTCATTGGCTGCTTTATTTATAAACATTACAAACCAGTTTGTCATTAATTAATAGTGAATAATTTAAGCGAGATTTTTGCGCGGTGCGGTGGTTGAAAATAATTGCAGTATTAAACTAACCGAGGACAATTTCAACTGAAATATAAAAAATCGTAAAAAAAATCGTTAATTGGGAATTCTGAAATGACACAATTTTTTTGTTCACGGTAAATTTACTCTCAGTGTTTTAAACAGGGTTAAATTATAAATTTCTGCGCGATAACACTGGTGACCGACTAAAATATGAGCATTAAATTTCTGGTAAATATTTACAGAAACTCATAAGTGAAATTACGTGATATTTAAACACACACTGAAACTCGTTATCGTATAAACGAGAATATTCACCAAATACTTAGATCATACGATTTTTATTTGTTTTTGGGCAAAATGAAACGTTCTGCAAGTGAAACTTTTTGAGGTCGTAATTACTACCAAAGCGAAATTTACATCAGCGCCTTATTTTTTTTTATATACACGCGTCTTATAACGAGTGATTCTACAAACTAATCCTTAGATCGACTACATAGTTCTTGCACAAAACAAATATAAAATCGAAAAGTTCTGACAAAATTCGCTGCCCGCCACTGCGGACCGCGTTCTGTGTACAGAAGCCTTTAATGATGGTTTCTACATCACAAATTAACAAAATTCCTATAAAATTACATTTCGTTTTTAAGATTAGACAGCTACCTTAATCTATTTTTCATAATTAAAAAAAAAATCTGCATAAATTTTAATTTAATTTTTATAATCACAAAGCGGTTTTGAGCACATAGGTACTTATTTGAACTAAATAGTAGAATATGTCATCAGAGTGTGGTCAGTAGTTGAATTTCATTCTGAAATGTATTAAAACAATTTAATAGGTACAGTGTAATGTTCGGTAAATTAAAGAAATAACATTTTTTTTGCCAATGATAAATTTGGTCGTAAAAAAGTACCAGGCACTGTATTTTTGACCTACAAAATAAAATTTAAATCTAATCAAATTATTTCTATTTAAATTTGGAGGTCAGATATATCACGAATGTTGTTGTTCACTTCAACCTTGCTTTGACTTGTCATTTTATATATAGGGTCTCCCAAAATTTTACACAGTCCTGATTACCATTCAGAATCTAAATAAATGAAATTTCTGTAATTATTCAAAAAAGAATAGCATAAGTTTTAAAATATTATCTATTTGCTATGTACTAGGTACCTACTAGGTCATTCATTCACATAACATTCTACATCCCTTGTTTTTTTTACCTATCTAGAAAAAAAGATTAGCGATTAATTTTAGGAAATTTCTTGCGATTTCAAAAAATCGTAAAAAGCAATTGATTAATTTTGAAGATATAAACCAAACTTTTGTTTCTTTAAATAGAACACTATATGCTTATTTTTTTATCCCTTCCTTTTTTCTGATTACAACGACGATTGCTTTGCAAAATATTGGTTACATACGCTTAAAATGTTTTTCATAGTATATTATTATTTTTTTCTTAATATAATATTTAAAGATGTGTTAAGCAAATTTAATAGCGGAAAAGCTTAAATGTGAATTTGTTTTATGACAATCTTGACTATCAATTGTGGAGGGTCAATAAATAAACCAAAGATATTGACAAATCGTCACAGCAAGTTTTAGACATATGTATGTCACTGTATTTACAAAACGAGAGGATTCAAGAAAGCAACAAATATACAGGAGGTTTGGATTTTGTCTTCAAAATGCAACAATTACTTTTTATATATATTATCACAAGAAAATTTCCAAATTTAATATGTAAGCTAAATAATCAAGGAAAATTTCATGTTCAGAATTCTATTACTCTATCAGAATGTTAAAATTGACTAATGCAAACTGTTGTTTCAGATCTGTACAAGTTGACAGGTGAAGTTTTAGGTGAAGGGGCTTACGCAAGTGTACAGACGTGCGTCAACATGTACACCGACCAGGAATTTGCCGTGAAGATTATTGACAAAGTTCCTGGTCATGCCAGAGCGAGGGTGTTCAGAGAAGTCGAGACGTTCCATCACTGTCAGGGTCACCCCAACATAATCAAATTAACAGAGTTTTTTGAGGACGAAGAAAAGTTTTATTTGGTTTTTGAAAAGGTAAGTCCAAGAAAATCCCTTCCAAAACAAACGGAATGAATGAGTTCTTAACATTAATAAATAATTAGGCTTTATTTGTTTTTTATTTATTATGTTAATAGCTTGTGTACACCTTCTAATGATACCCAATGTTTAAGTAAAAAAAATAATACATAATATTATGTATAGGTCTCTATATTTGTGTAATTTTATTACAGATAAATGGAGGTCAGCTGTTGAGGAGGATTCAAGAGTATAAGTATTTCACTGAAGCGGCAGCTGCAGAAATTGTTAGGGAAATCGCCTCGGCCCTGCAATTTATGCACGCTAAGGGCATCGCGCATCGTGATCTCAAGCCAGAGAATATTCTCTGCGTCCATAAGGACCGGCTCTGCCCTATTAAGATCTGCGATTTTGACTTGGGCTCCGGGATTCGCTTCCAGTCTAGTGTTTCCAGCCCTCTGGCGACACCTCAGTTATTGACACCAGTGAGTAATTTTCTTCAGTATATTTTTGTTTTTTTTTATGTATATTTCAACTATTTATAAAATCTTAATAATCTCAGTAGGTTTTACGCTGTTATGTAATCAGTATTGTTATGGACCCATGTACGATTTTTTACAAATTTGACGGAAACGTTTCGCAAAAATTATGATCCCTTTTTTAGTTTCTGGAAATTTTAGATTCTTGTCATGAATTTCTAAAAACGTTCAGAATTTTTTTGTAAAACCACCATGTCAATTTTAGATTTAGATAGATTCGGCAGTTCCACTTTTATTTTTCCCCCTTTGCCCTGATGTGGCTATAATAAATTAAACAGAATCACTGTTGTTTAAAATATGAAACTATTTAAACACCATTCGTTTTTTTAGCCTCAGAAAATTTAATTCTACTTTTTTCTTTAAATAAATAGACATATTCATACATGTTTTAAAAAAAAACTCATGAATCTCATGACGACTGAAAGGAAATGTTTCGGAATCGTAATAAAACTGCTGCAAGTAAGGCATCTTCAAAAATGTACACATTATGGCAAATTAAAGGGACAATTCAAAAACTGAGTTATAAAAATGCTGTCGATAGTTATCTTTCTTGATTTGTGTACATAATTTTTCATATCGCATAGAAATTCAACAATAAAGGCACATAAATACACTGCATTTCCACTGAACACTGAACTTTGTAAAATTGAACTTGATAAAACACAACACTGCACTACGCAAATTCTATGTTGATTCCAGTAAAAACTTAAAATTTCACAAATTCACTTGGAAAGTCATGAAATTTCCTTCCATATTACAAACACCTTGTAAACCATAAACTGAGAGTTAAATAATAATTAATAAAATGCAGCAGACATATTTGGTTATTCTTGTTTCACCAAATTAACATTAGCCTTTTGTTTTCTGCCAACTTAGCATCCTGTTGTCGTATTACATCGGGTGAATTGATATTATGTAGTTCACCTAAATTAGGTCATCGACTTTCATATTCACAAACTAAACATAGTGCTTTAAAAAAATAGTAACAATATTTAAAAATAATTTAAAAATATATTTCAAATCTATCAGAATAATAAGTAGGTATGTTCATTGTTTTTTATTATCTTAAATCATATAGGGGAGATCGGGGAGCATTTTTGGGATAATTAAATAATTATATGAAAAACTGATTAAATATATATTTCTTTATAATTAATAAACACTTACCTAAGTATTCTACAGGTCATTTGGACAAAAAAATTGTTTCAGTGACTTGGTGCATTTGGCCGAATGCTACCCATACCAAGGCAGCATTCAGCCGGCACATGGGGAGCATTCGGCCAAAGCTAAAATACTGATAATTGGCTAAATACTGATTTTTTTTTTGTCGTAAATTAAACAAAAAACATGGGGAAATTTAACACAAAAGAAAGAAAAAGCAGAATTTTAGTCAATTAACAACTAGAAATCCAAAATTGTAATTAAAGTGATAATATGAGGTTGTTCTCACAGTTCCAGTCTTCGAAGAGGGTACAATTTTGCCAATGACATCATTAATGTCTATTTCTGTTATGTCGTCAATGGGATGAAAATAAAAAGTTGTAGAAAGTCCTTTTCGTCTTAGAAATTTAACGCATGTCATATTTTCGTTTTTAATGTTTAAAATTTGCCCAAAATGGATAAAAGCACCACGAACTTTAAATTTTACAAGAACAAAGTCTCCTTCACTTAACTCCTGTTTATTTAATTCTTCAATAGTTTTAAATTCTTCATCATCTTCGTCTGAATTCTTTAATTAAATTAAACTTTTCCAAATTTTCGTACAAGGGTCCATTCTGCCACTGATTTTGATGGAATAATGTAGTTTTTAACGAAAGAAATGTATGCTAAAAAATGAAGGGAGAATAGGCAAGTCATAAATTTAAACACTAATTGCAGGTTGGTAGTGCTGAGTTCATGGCTCCGGAAGTTGTGGAGGCATTCATCGGTGAATCGGACACCACCTCATACGATAAGCGGTGCGACTTGTGGTCTTTGGGAGTGATAATGTACATTCTACTCTGTGGCTACCCCCCCTTCTACGGAAAGTGCGGCAGGGATTGTGGCTGGGAGAAGGGGGAGAATTGCAATGCGTGTCAAGAGCTGCTCTTCCAGAGCATCCAGGAAGGACGCTACGATTTCCCCGATGCAGAATGGGGCTTGATTTCTAACGAAGCAAAAGATCTTATTTCCAGCCTGCTCGTTAAGAACGCCAGTCAGCGCATCAGTGCCGCGGAAGTGCTGCAACATCCATGGTTGAAGTTTGCGAGCGACTCAGCTGCTCTTACCACGCCAGCTGTCATTAAAAAAAATAACTCTGCATGGGAGCTGTCCCAGTTCGCGGAATCCGCTATGGCTGTGAATAGAGTTGTGCAACAGCATTTCAGCATGAATCTGGACTACCTGGAAAGGCCGAATATTTATCCTAAGGATAAGACTGTAAAACCTTGTGCGTCGGTGAAGATGTTCGGATTGAGCCCACCGAGTGAGAGCAATCTCATGCAGAGGAGGGTCAAAGGAAGATCTTGTCAGTTCTTATTGCCTACACCAGCACCAGCCATTCCCAGTCCAAGTGGTTGAAGTTGCCCATCTCGTGTTTTAAGTTCTGAAAAAAAAATTATTTTGTCATCATTTACTTTTGGCATATCATTACAGGAAAAATTCACATTTGTTTAGAATTTTGTTGTGTTTATTTTCAGGTCGCAGCACAACAACTTGCTGTTTTCTATTTTTCTATTTGTGAGGCTGGACAAATCAAGATATTGAGGCATCCCTCTTGTAAATTACCAAAAAAGACGTGTAATTGTTTGAAACGGGGATATTTTGGGTTTTCTTCAAAAACCAGTGAATTTTCCAAGTATTCGTAATAAATAAGACGAATGACAATAATACCAGAAATTTGTGTAGTTGTGACAATGTTTGTAGTTGAGATAACCAGGGCGCTTGCAACAAAATTAAAATTTTCATTATATCTTATTTGTGTATCTCGTTACTTAATATTGAATAACTTGCCAGTCTCACTTTTTCAAATGCAATCGGGAATTAACATTTGATTATTACATTCTTTCCAATCACTGAATTAATTTTGAGATATGGATCTGCAATTTATAGTTTCGTAATAAACATTTCTACGATTTGTATGAACAAAATATTCAAAATTTTTATTAACTTAAAAAAATATATTTCCAATAATCAATTAATTTTCACTTTTCCCGGAATCGAATAGAACATGAGTAGTAAAATTTAAAAATATTTTGTCTGGTAAAATTCAGTTACGAATTTGAATAAATTTGGGGATATTTTAAAAATGGGTTGTTTAAAGCGTTTACACATACAGTTTAGGCACACTGTAAAGTACTTCAGTTCTTTTTTTTTTCTTTAATTATGCACGTTCTCACTGATAAATATTTTATCAGTTCTCTCAGTTTTTTTTTTTTCATTTACTTTAGTTAACGGGCCTAATGTAAGAATGCGATGAGTGTAATTTGAAAATGATTGAAAAAATTGAGCAGTAATGTGGGGTGCGTGAAATTTTCCGATCAGGACGAGTGATAATGCCTCAATATAAATTGATGGTTCAGCTTGGGCCTAGTTTTAGATATTGCGCTTGATTTTTAATACTTTTGTATGTGTTGAGGTAGATTGAAGTCAGTCTACATTGTGATAATAAATAAGCATCTGACGTGCGAACTAGCCGCACGATAGACTGTAGACCGCCGTACCTGCTTTAAGTTCAGTGAGATACGGAACATTTAAATTTAAGGGGCCCACGCCCTGTTACGTACTGACAGTCCATTTGTATTCTAAGAGTCCTATATAAGTTTGGATATTTTTTTAAGATTTTGTAATGCTCAAGGGTAGTTCTTCTCTTTTATAATGATTGGAGTGGTATCCAAACCAGGGCGCGTTCAAACAAATACCAAATTGGCGGGATGTGTAAAAAATCCTCTACGAACCCAGTGCTTTAAGTTTTATTGCCTGCCAGTTTGGTGATTGTTACTTCCAACACTCAGGGTTGTAATTGTTCGGAGGACGAAATGTTAACGTGAGTGAATGATGGTGTTTGTGATTTTTTCAAGGATGAATGATAATCCCCTAAATTGTAGATCCCTACAGATTGGAGTATTGTTTTTTCTAAGATTATTTTAAGGCATTTATAATTGTACTTTCGCGGTACTATCTGTTTCCACAAGTTTATACCAAAAACAGATTATATTCATTATAAATTTTTTTTTTATATAATCACGGCTCTTTCGCCGTGAGTGCCATTATTTTCTATTTATATTTTTATTGAATAAACGATTCAGTATGATCCTGCAATTTCTTTATCCTTCATTCATACTGGCTCGATTATGAATCTACAGAATTATAAATATTGTTGAACTTTTGGTTATGACATTTGTTTTTTTTTACAAGAGCATGCTAAGCATTGAGTAAAAATAGTGAAGGAAATTTTATGTACCAAGTGTGCTTTAATTTCTTATAATAAAGACCGATTTTTTTAAACTACTGTTTGATTTTTTTTTTCCCTAACCTTACTTTATGCAAGACCTTTATCCAAAAGACATATCGTCGGCTTACTGTCAAAAAACTCCAATTTACGTTTTTCTTGCCCAAATTACTTTTAAATTATAGTTGTTACGATATCAATTGGAACCTGTGAATCTTAAAGCACAGGACTGTCTGCAGTCTGCACTTCTTTTGAAATTTTTTCCTGTGCTTTAGCCATTATTTGTCTAGTAATTGATACTCGAATAGCTATTGGGCAAGTCCCTAACTTGTAGACAGTCCGCCTGAAGTAGATAGAATCGACGGTAGCATGCTGGTCATCAAAGCAACTAGGTTGGTCCACTAGATTGTAAATAATTTTTTGCATGGTATCCTATAATTAGTTTAGTGTCGAACGCTGTTCACTTAGTTTTGCCAGTGCATTTAGATATTATTAATTATTAATATTATTATTTATTCATATCGTAACCAGTAAAAGGTAAGTTATTAATATAAATATTATATGTTACGTTTCCCGTTTAAAAAACAAAATGATTGGTAAAAAAAGATATTATACTTCGGGCTACTCGCTTGGCTGCTGAGAGGGAAAAACGCACATCAATCAATTTTTACAGTTTATTATAAAATAACATACTTACACTCCGAGGGGTTGCTTATCAAATGGAGGACAAAATTGTAACCTGGCTCCTAGCCATCGACTGGCTCTCAAGGTGGCTCTGGACTGGCCCCGATTGTTATAAACAAATATAATTATTGCCAACAATTTCCTTTAATCAAAGTAAAATGTACATTCTCAATTATTGATCGTTATTCAACTCTCTAATTCTAACTTATGCTTCTTTCTATTCCTGTATCCAACTACCTTGTTTATTTAAAATTGTTTATAAAATTATAAACAGTCTATTCAGCGTTTCGGGACACGCACACTGGCCGTGGCGTTCCAGCTACCGTTGCTCGGTCTGTCTTTCCCGCTCTTCATAACAAAATGCTGAATGCATTAAACTACCGACAGAAGAATCGGGAATCGGGAACAATGTCTGAATCAGTTCACCAGTTTATAGAGAGAGAGAGAGCGAGGTGGACATAGTGCAAGGGTCAGTTCAATATGCATTCAATTTGCAATTAAACACTTTTCGTTGCTTTTAATTAAATCTGTGCAATACTGACATGTAATTTATTTCAATTGTATTTACAAATTTTGTTCTATGAAATAAATTAAATGAATAAGTATTTGTACTGAGGGTATTTTTGTAAAAATCTACTAAAAAAAGTTTTGACTATATTTACTTTTTGATTTGATTTTACTTTAATTTTTGAATATTACTCTTCCTATCTCCAAAATGCTTATAGTTGACAATATGTAATTATCTAGTAATTTAGCACGGCTTTCTGGAGACTGAAACCGAAGATAACAAAATGACCCGAGAAAATCCCCAAATAGTCGAGCCGGTTTATGTGGAAAGCATTGAAACAAACTCAGACTATAAAAAGATTTACACATACAAAGTTAACATATTATTTTAAATATATATGAATGTTTGAAGAGGAAATAGTGGACAAATGTGATAAAGAAATTAGGAAACGGATTAGCGAATTAACTAAGATATCAAAAAAGTCAATTTATCGCATAATTAAAGGAGACATTATTAATCACGGTACAAAGAGGAAACGAAAAAATACAAAATTAAAGAATATTGACGATTTTACTAGAGATGTAACACGGCGCACAATTTATAATATGTATACTTAAAGAAAATAAAGTTCCTACTTTAAACATGATTGGAGATAAATTAAGCGATTATCCTGATTAGAACTATAAATCTTTAGATACTCTACGATATGTATTACAATGCGGTTTTAAACACAAAAACTTAACAGTCGTATATCGTAATTATGGAATCATGACGTATAGTTGCACTTCGGGAAGATTATTTACAAAAAATAGAGAATATCGTCAACTAAATAGGAATAGGAATATAGCTTGGAATATAGAATATCTAGACGAGACAAGGCAAAATATTTGTCTCGGCCCTGAGAATGCAATGACATCATCGCATGGGACGGTTTGGTTCGTACACTACTTCCAGATGAGTTTCTGCATCTTCAAGCTATAGAACCTTGCAGTACCTACCACATAGACATGGACATAGTTTTAAACTATTTGTAAAATTTATGTTTATCTCTTGTAAAAAGGTTTTATCCACCCATCAACTTAAAAGAATTGAGGAAAAGAGACAAATTGTATAGTCTCTTATAAAGCACAAAAAAAAAGGAAAATATATTAATAGTGGCATTTCATTATACTATGCCAAAATAAATCTTTCTGTCAGCAGTTGTTATTGATATCTTTAGGATCCTCTTTAGGAAATGTACATAAAAATGAACAAAACTAAATCGTTGACCATCTGCACATGTTCATTTTCGCAGTTAAAATAGGTTGGACGTCATATAACTGTCTGATAATTTATATTAATTTATTTCAATGTTAATCGCAGATGAGGTATATTTCAGTAGACCTAGTGGCCATACATCATTAATAGTAGTCATCTTAGACCCCTCTATTATTACAAAGCATGTAATAAATAACCAACCCAACGACCTTATTAATAAGAGGCATAACAGTCGCTAACCAGCTACTTTGTTGGCGAATGATAAAACATTATCACACATACCTATGAATGGATAGAATAGACCAATAGCATGAGTATAATAATGAGTATAAACAGCTGAATTCACTTTGCTTCAAAGATTCTCTGCAAGCACGTTTCTTTAGGTTATGTTCCATCTTGACGGCATGGAAATAGCAAACTAGATGGCTAAGCTGATTGGATTTTCGGGCACACTAATAATGTCACAATGTGATTTGACCACGTGACAAAATTTAAAGTTTTACATAATTTTGAACATCTAATTAATTTATACCAATAAAAATGTTTTTTTATCTGTATTAAATTTTTATACATGATGCCTATTGTAATTGATATTAATATTCTACTGTTCAATCTTCATAATACTGTTAATTACAAAAAATATTAAATATTCTTTTCGAGACCTCAGGGTCGAGAACCTAAAAATCCACTCATAAAAATGCATTATCCCATAAAAAACGTGCGAGTTCCATGCTCCATTATCAGAACATGAATACTTCAATTTTCACCAACAACCTCTGAACGAAGCTTATAAATAAATGCAACTAACAAGCCTGAGGCCTATAATTTACTAATAATGTAAGTAAGGGGATGTAAAATAAAACAAAAACAGAAAAGGCACTTTAATCTGTATTCCCAGACATCCAAACAAACGTACACACTTCTTTCATAAATAAACAAAATATAAATAATTCATATTAAACATTCAGTAGGAATAGGTGATATAGGCAGTGTTTTAAGAATTGTCATTAATATCCAGCATACCTTTCGGCCTCAAAATAATATCAAAAAGTTATCTCACGTACATAACAGTAGTGCAAAAAACAACTTAAGGGAGGCTACATTGTTCAAAGTAAGAGAAAACTAAATAAAAACTGTCAGTCTTAAAAAATAAATCTGAGATCCGTTCCCTCTTCGAAGCCTTCCCTTAAGATGGAAGAAATAATATTTAAACTTATTATACAGAAAAATACACAATTTTTACATTATTATCCTCATATAAATTCAAAAATTCCACAACATTACCAATAGTTGAGGCATTATTCAATATTTTTCAGTGAGATGAATTAGTTTGTACAGGATGGTCTTTAAGTATGTAATATGTATGACAATAAAGTAATTCTTTAGACCATTTTCAAGAAAAAAAAGGTCCCATTAATGTGTATATCCTAAACGAGTACAAGGTGTTGAAAGTTTTTGAAAAATATCAGCAATATCTTGAAGGACGTTTGGTGTAAATTAGTAAAACTTAGACTAACAACTTAACTAAATAAAGACAAAAAAATCACAAAATTTGTATACAATCGTCACATCACTAAGAATCACAGAATTAAATAGCCATTGAGCATTTTGGACCCTTTGTGAATTCTAACGGTTCGTCTATCTACAGCGTCATTCTAAAATCAGTGTGCAGCAGTGAGCAACATTTATTATTTTGTGCATCGTTTTCTGAAAATTATGTAATGAAATCGATAGCACAAAAGGTAGGAGGGAATGTTGATCAGCATTGCACAAAACGTGTGCGTATCGGTGAAGTGAAAACTTACAACACGACTGTGACGGGAGGATTCAGCGAAGGCAGTCACAGATCACTGCAGAAGATGTACAGTGCTATGGAGGGCCTATTATATAGTCCAGGAATTGCAGATTAATGGTAAAGTAAAAAAAAATTACATACAAAAAACATATGTAATTGTTATGAATTTTTTTTATAAAAATCGACTTCCAAAAAAAATTCTCCAAGTTTTGAATAAGGAAAATATCGTGTGTAAATTTTATCTCATATTCCAAGAACTGTAAAAGTTATGTGCGATATACTGAGAAGCTGACGAGCGACCAAATTCTCAAGTGCTTCAAATCTTTGCTAAACTCCAAATGTGACTATCTCGAAACATACTATTCAAAGATGGTTCCCAAAATTTGACGCAATAGTTTGAACAGTTTTTTTTTTATTTTAACCATTTTTGTTTTAATAAGCTAGAAAGGTCAGAAATTAAGGTTGAAAAATGATGTGAAGATCAATCGGCCGCCATTTTGTGAATTTTTTTTTAATTGTACATTACATTTTGAGAATCTTTTTGAAACTTTTGTTTCGGATCAACCGACTGCATGTAATCTTACAGCATACCTCAACACGTATACTTTCGAATAAACCAAGACTGGATAGTACTGAACAGATAGTTTTTGAGAAAATAATTCCTAAAATTCACCTATTTTTTCCGCTGTCTACTTGGATGTTCTTAAAATATAATTTTATTTTATTGGAGTCTATTTTAAACATCTATTTTCATTAGTGATATAATTGTACAAAAATTCAGTAAACCTTTACTTAGTCAAGGTGGTAGTCCAAAATTAATTAATCTATATTAAATACCTTTCAAGATATTTGTGTAGAAAGTATATTATTCAAGAAATTTAACACTCTTGACAGCTATTTAAGGGGTAATGCCACTCTAGAATTTTTGAACAATCGATTCTTGGATAAATGGTTTAAACAATGCTTTATTATGTGAAGAATATGTATAGGAAAAAAGTTTTAGGTGGGAAATATTGGGAACACGAGTATTTTCGAGATGAAGCACAACCACTCTCAGCTTGCAGAAGTGCTTATTGTAACTCGTGAGAATGTGCGTAATAGCTATTATAGAGGTCAGATTGAGTTTCAAATTAAGCGGAAAAGAAGAAGATGAAGAATATATCATTAATATAGAAGGCCAATTACATGGTGTAGGCATCGGTGATTGAAGATATACATACAGAGTGTCTGGAAATTAATGCAACAAAATTTGGTCAAAGATTCTTAAGACAAATTTAGGGGACTCGTGTTTTTTCTTTTTGTCAAGTGGCCCCCTCTTCAGCCCCCCGAAATCTGCCCCTAAGAATAGTCTTTTTTATATCAGACCCCTGTTGTATGAGAATCATTAAATTTGTTTTATGATATGTGGAATCTGATAGTGCTACGCTTTTTGGTGAGGAACCCCCTTAAGACACTTTTCCGTGGGCCCCTTGTCTTTGGAACCAAAAAAATTTGGTCGCAAATTTGAATTTCTTAAAAATTGTTAGTTAGCTACGAAGCCATTAAATTTAGAAAATTTTTGACCCTCGGTATTTCTTTCGTAAAACGCAATATTTTTGAGGAAAATGGCAAATCACGATATGCATTCCATCACATTTTGACATTTTTCTCGAAAACAGTTTTACGAACAAAGTATCAAGAGACAAAAAAGTTTCTAAATTTAATGGCTTTCTAGCGGACTAATAATTTATAAGAAATTTAAATATGCGACTAAATTTTTTTGGCTCCAAAGACGAGGGCCCACAAAAAATTGTCTGAAGGGGGTTCCCCGCCAAAAAGTGTAGCACCATCAGATTCCACATGTCATAAATCCCCTGCGTACCAAATTTAGTGATTCTCGTACAACAGGGTTGATATATAAAAAAAATATTCTTAGGGGTAGATTTCAGGGGGGCCGTAACTCCGAAAGAGGGGGCCACTTGGTAAAAATAAAAAATACGAGTTCCCTAAATTTGTCTTCAGAATATGTAACATGTGACCCAATTTTGTTGCATTAATTTCGGGATACCCTGTATAACGAATTTGTTATAATGAATGGCAACTAAAATACTTTTTTTAACAGATCGGAAAAATAACAAGAAGTTTTCAACAAATTCACTTAAAATATTGTACAGAGCTCAGGAAACATCGTATGGGTTTTTCAATTCATTAACGACTGTCATTTTATTACAATTTATAACAAAATTTTTCGTCCTTTTTTTAATGTTCACTAAATCGAAAATTATTATTTTTTAATTTCCTTACGGTGTTCCCTAGCTTTTAGTACATAGTATCAGTAAATTTTTGTTTTTTTGTTCCCATCCGTTAATAAGAAACCCTTCTGACCATACAGCATACAGCCCTCTGAAAAAAAGGTAACGTTGTTTGCCATGACCTACAGCTGCCATTTTGAATCCAAGTCATTTAAAAAAATTCACAATACTACCTGAAAACATGTACAATAAAGTCTTTTTGTTTCTGACACTATATCTTACACTGATTTTTCCTTGAAAATTCCCAAAATTCACCTTTTTTTCTAACTTCTACAGTGGTGTTTAGGAACTGTTTCCTTAACACAATCTAAAGAATCAACTCCCTTTATAACGAGAACGTACATATTTAAGGATCACCCTGTACAAGAGAGACAAATATTACTTACGCTCAAACTCTATAAATTAATGCCTAACTTGTCATTATTTAATATCTAACAAATTTTACGTCTTACATCCTTACATATAAAAAATTTGAATACTTCAATATTTCCTTAATGAGTTAAAAAAATTATTTTTGTACTAAAACAATGCATATAAAGATAAAAGTAATGATATACATTTCAACTTTGAGACCTAACAATGTCAGAATCTGCTGGCTTAAAAAATAAAATCACAATTTTTTTAATACCCTATTATCGCAGTTCGAAAGTTAGTCACGAACGCGCATATTCCAAATACTCGATCTTCTCATTCCTACTGTGGGTCTTGCCACCGAACTAAATTTAAACTTATTGATTGCTACTCTAGCCCCTAGCCCTTCTTGCACAGCTTTTAATTCGTCTGCATCTATGTACCCTCCGTGTATGTCGAGATATGACAGACTATATACCTTTTTTAGGTGTCTAAAATAAAAAAAAGAACCTAAAAATTGGGACAAACTTCCGAGAGAGGTAAGTAGAATTAAGTTAATAAATGTAGTACAAGATAAAAATAAGGTGGTTAAATTCGATTCCATTTCATATGTCAGATTGAAATAAAAATATGTATATTCACGTGTACGATTACATTGCCTGTGCTTTGCTCATTTATACTTGGCACGAGGATGTCTAATTGTTGACATTGGCCATAGTTTTAAGAGGTGTTAGGCCGTCCACAGTATAGTCAATACCCGTTATATCTAAGACCAAATGCTACGAAAAGAAGTAATTTGTTATTTATACTGTTATAATACGGTACCTAATAAAAATAAAACATAAAATACATGATATTCCAAAATTAAACTTCAAGCATGATAGTCCCAGAGATATTACATGAATTACACCAAAATATATGCTTATATTATACTATGGTCACTTTCCATATTCCAACGAAGTAAACAATGATCAAGTATAATACGCATGAAGTGTACAGGCAAAAAAAAAATATCTACTTATGTGGCCTAATAACAGTTTAGCCCATTAAAAATAGGTGTAATCATATACAATTACTGTAAAACTTCAAAAAACATTATATCGTAGAGTATGATTCTGTGACAACTTAAAGAATTTATAGGAAGTGACAATACGTCGCAAGACTATTTATCAATGCATGGTATTGGTAGGAAAAAAGTTGAGTGTTGTAAAATGTTTTAAGAGAAACAGGTGTAGCTCCCTTAAACCGTAGAGGCAAACATTGCCCACAGGTTTAGGGCAAGTTCGGGAGCAGCGCAATCGTTGCCGTTAGATCTAAGAGAGGACGTTTCAAAAAGAGACAATTTTTTATAATAGGGTAATCAAAGTGTGTGAATGTAATAATTAATAATGACACATGTGTACCTGGAGGCCTACAAACTTCATAATTTTCAGCCGTTAAGTTATTTTGTAAAAGAAACATGAAATAAAGCAAAAATACTGTTCGGAATTTCATTTGTACAGCAGAAAATTGTCAGAAAAATCATGGAACATAAAATAGGATCTAAAAAGTTTCATTCTCTTCCTTCAATTGGATTAACTAAAGAAGGATGGACGTAGTTCTATTAGACTAGGGCGCACGGATTATTGTGAAATAGACCCATCACAATTGCTCAATCCTAAAGGTCTGTGTGCAAGAAATTCAAGGGTTCATGAGCGTTGTTCACCCTTACACCTTACTGAAGTTTATAGCCTAAGATCCGACTGCGAGATTACTACGTTCATCTGTTTTTCAGTCGAAATACAATTTTTATAGATAATTATGAATAGAGGAATATGTTTCTGCCCGGTTGCCTATCAATGCTGTAAGTATTTTTAATTAAAATTAAATTAATTTTTTCCAAACGTCAGTGAACATGTCAAAATAAATGTTGTCTTTTAATGCTTTTTCCTGACCGATCTGATCACGGCGAGTCGTTATTTTGCCGTTACGCGCTGGTTCCGATCTTTTAGAGATGATATTATAGCGATAAATCTTAATTTCAACATTTTAAATTTTCCGTTTACATTTGTACAGACCCAACATTTCAAATAGTTCATAAAGACTCCACCCACCAGTAGGCCAGCGTAGCTCAATTTGAAAGCTGGCTACTGTAAAGCTGAAGGTTCTCGGTTTCAATCACGGGGGTACCGGACTTTTTTTTTTAAATGTTACATTTACCAACCTTTTTTAGTTCTTTACATATCTCTCTGTTAAATGAATTATAATTTATCTTAAAAACAAGTGGACGAAATTGTTTGGAAAAAATTAATAAATTTAATTTTAATTAAAAATACTTGTGGCCATATCTTGATAGGCAACCTGGCAGAAACATATTCCTCTATTCATAATTATCTATAAAAATTTTATTTCGATTAAAAAACAGATGAATGTAGTAATCTCGCAGTCGAATCTCATACTATTAGGATTTAGGGCATTCACTGTCACTAAATGGAATTAAGGACTGTATTCATCGGAAAATTTGAGAACATGTCAAAAATCTGTACACCTACAGATAAATCTGTAGGCTTAACAACATTGGGCACAAGACTGTTTTGGAATCATTTCATTTTCTCAAAATTAAGTACCAGTCCTTGTATAAGAAAATGACTTCTTACATACATAAGTTGTTAATTTCATTAAAAGTTTAACTTGAGACCCAGAAAAACTTAAAGAAAAATCACTTTTGGCTGGCATAAGGATCTTTAGCTTATTGCAAGTGGATAAGGCGCTTCTTTTCCTGTTTTTTATGTAAAATTTATTATTATTGGACATAATATACGTATAAAAAATGTTATGCACAAATCTATGTATTATTATTATTATTATTATTATTACACTGTCTTGAAACCTTTAAACGTTCTTCTCGAAATTAAATTTTTTGACAAATCTCGTTTTTTGCCTGTACTCTTCATATATAAAAAAACACGTAGCTGTGAAACTGTTGGTAGAAATGAATCGAATGGTAATCCCTACCAAAGGACGATCATAAACAAATACAGAATCAGATTTTACATCATATAGTTTTAACTTGGTCTGTTTTTCATGGTTTAATTTTATTGCAATTTACATGTTGTTTGGGATTAATTTAAGCTAGCACCAATTCCGCTAATGAAGTGGTTGACACAAGTACCTCGATTAGGTTTATATCGACTAATATTTTTATTTTTTTAATATATTTTTTACTTTTATATTATATTATATCTTCCCTAGCTATTTTTTTGATCATGTGTACAATTACTTACTTCGTTGGAATTTAGTGAATTTAGTATAGAAAGTGACAATTTGAAATATCTTATTTCATTGCGTCTTCCTTTCCATTTCTGATTTCATTGTTCTATTTAAAAAGAAAACACAAAACCTTCCGACTAATTTAAAAAAAAATAACCCCATTGTCTTGTATGCAACTTGTAACTCGTATTTCTATTTAAATGATAATATCTGTATGTGTTGCAAATATACTCACAATAAAGATTTGTAAGGAATTAGATAGCATCTTGATAATGCGAGGAAGTTCAGGTCTTCCAATGTCGTTATTTGTCTCACAGCCTCGCCAGTCAGGGACGTACAATCTGATAAGTCTAATTCTCTAAGTCGTGGGCAGCAAGATACCAGGTCAGCCACATCTGAGAGAAACGTGCAATAAAATTTATCCTTGGATAACCAATATTCCATACTTACTTTTGTCAGTTAAGAGCTTTCTGCATCCTGAAAAATTTAGCCTGTCCATTGTGGACGGCAAATTTTCACAGATATAGTGTATACTACAGCTGTTCAGATAATTCCAAGCAATATTTAGCTCTCTAATTCTAAAAAGTAATAAGTAGCAAAATTATCAATATCGGTAATTATTATAATTAAGTTTACACAGCAAATGATTTCGAATGGTTGTACACCATCTTCAAGATAGAATTAAAATATAGTGTCTCAAATTAAAAAAAAATTGTACTATTTGGAGATCATTGCAATGGCATAATTAGATCTGATTTACTTTTTATTTGAGCTTATTAGAGGCAAGGGCGTCGCCAAGGGGAGGCAGGGAAATCAAATCGCTGCCCGCTACAGTTAGCTCCAGCAGCGCTCGATTGCTTCGGTTTGACGCACAATTAAAAATGCAGAGGTGGCAACAATGAACCATAGTATTTTTTATTGAAAATATAAGTCTTCAATTTCAATCTCTGTAAGAATGGGCGCTGTAGTACTTAAATAGCACCCTGTGGAATTTTTGGAAAAAGAAAAAATATATATCGGCTCCAGAAGGTCATAGAGCAACGTTTTTTAGTCATTTTTGTACACTTGAAATGAATAAAATCGTTATCACTCCTTTTTACCATGTCGTTTCCCTATGACTATTCGTCGAGCAAGAAGAGCCGATTTTTGAGATGACCTTTTTCTCGAAAAATCGATATAATTCGAAAAAATTTTAATATTTTTTAATTTGAAAAAAGGCACTCATTTTGCTTGCCGAGGGCTACATTTACAGCAAGGAACAAGTCTCAAAACCTTAATTTGCAAGAGATACAGCAAAAACAAAAAAGGTCGATTTGACGGTTTTTTCGATATATCTTGAAAAGTAATACAGTGCAACCTCTTTAATCCGAACACCACATTGCCAGGCATTGTCCGTATTATCGAACATAGTATAAAGATTTGTAGATATTATGTATATTATGTAAGTACATACACATTTTATTATAACAATATAAATATAAATCATATAAGATATATAAAACTTATATATATATATATATATATGTATTATTTTACGCTTTTCACATTTTTTATTTTTCTTACTTCCAAAAAAACTCCTAAATTGTTACACAAAACACAACAGGTTCTTCGCTATTGGCAAACAAACTGACTGCCAACTATGCGCGTACACGCGAAGCGATCTAGTCTTTTCTTGTCATCGTTCAGATTTTGCTGTTCGGATTAGCGTGTGATCGAATTAACGTGTGTTCGGATTAAAGAGGTTGCACTGTATAGCAATCGATATATTTAAAAATACGAATTGATAGGTTTTTTTAATAGCTACAACTTTCTTATTTAACTTTTTTCGATTAGACTTAAGTTTTTTTTTATTAGCAAAAAACCGTCTTTTTGACTTTTATGATTTTTTTTCCTATATCACCATATTTTTTGTTTCCAGGTTGTATTTTTTTGTCTTCTACCTATTGATTGAACTATAATATATATATGTAACGCACCAATTTTATATATTTTATAATTTTCATTAAATTTCTTTATTTTTTTAGTTATTTATATTTTTTTCTTATGTTTTTCTTGTTTTATTAAAAATATTCCTAAAAAAAATTAATAAACTATACCTATTTCTACCTATAATTTATATTTCTCCCATCTTCTCTCTCAACTTGCCCTTCCCTAGCCCATTGGCTGGCGACACCCTTGATTAGAGGTAATGCAAAAAAAGTACACTTTGTAATACTTAGTAACTTGTACATGGAAATGTCAGTTTCGCTGTTGGATGTTTTCTTTTGGATTTATTATGGAGTGTAGACAAGGAGTGAAAACTCTTATGGGCCACACATACATATTCGGATCCCGTTAGATAACCCAAATTAAAGTTTAAGGCATCGCCATTATAGTGCTGATGCACTGGTGAGTCTAGTAACAAAGTTACGCTTATGTCCTTTTCATATTATACTTACTTACATCAGTGTCGCCTTTACATGACCCATGAAATGGCTCATTCTTTTTAACACGGAGTCTTCAATCCTTGTATACACAGTCCATAGGATTTACCCAAATAAACATATACTATATTTTTTTTTAAATTTTATATATTTTTAATAATACCTATTTTAACTTTCCTAAATACACCCCTGTCTACTCTACGTAGCAGTGACTAGAATATTTCAACTAGGTCACTGATACAGAATAGTAACACAATTGTTTTTAAAAACTAGGGTGATTTTAAAAAAATATTTCGTATCAAATCAATCAGATTAGAAGTATTTTCATTTTTTAATATGTATGTTTTAAAACAGCAAGAATAATTATTTTAAAAGTATTATACAGAGTGTAACTTTAGGTGGGGGTCAGATTTTTAGGGGTGACAGCATATGTCCTCCTGAATACGAATCTGAAATTCTTTTTTTTTAATCAAATAAATAGTCCACACTGACATGACTTTAAATGACATCAAACAAATATGGTGACTTTAAAAATAGCGTATACAGTCATCATAGACCTTATAAACTACTGGACTCGCCCAACTGTCATTTTGCCTATATAAACGGCAATCGTTCAGACGTGTGCGAGAGAGATGGAGCTAGTAAGGGCTTAAGCTTCGTTCACAGAAATTCGACTGCAGCGCGCTACATTTAATTCAACCAATCAGCTAGCTATACTCGATTCCTTACCCCTTTTTTCTGTTGGGCCGTATTCAAAGACTTTATAAAAATAATATAGAGAATTTTTTCCAGTAGTGTAGGTATGTAAAAGGGTTTATTATTATTAGTGGCCTAATGTAACAGTACAATATTTGAATTGTTTTAGCTATAATATTCCAAATAGTTTTTATAATGCCTTATTTATGTATTTCTCAATTTATTTTCCTCATATCGTAAACTTGATCAGCTAAAATTACTGCAAGCTCTTCTGACGTAGTTGTTTCAAATATTTCATATTTTCTTGCTTTGCAGAACTGTATAAATTGAAACTATGTCGATGCTTTCTTCGTTCAACATATTATTTGAAGAGAATTTTTGCTAAGCACATTTCAGTTAAAACTTTTTTGTTATTTTTGGTTTGATGTTAAAAAATAATTTGAAGAATAACACATTTAAAAGCAGCAAAATTTGGCCGTTAAAATGACATTTTATTTTGAGGATGCGGGAAATAATATAATCTAATAAGTTATCATCGGAGACAACTCTACTTGGTCATTATTTTCAGAAAGATGCAAAAAGTATAAACATGTTGGTACCATCATAACTTCTTTCCTACCTATGAAATTTAATTTTTTCTCCACTTAAACGTCTCTTTACGCAATTTATCGCAGAACACGATTGCACCATATTTAGTTTTTACGAATCTTTCACATGCATTAACTAAATCACTCAAAAATTCAAGAAATCAATCAATAATGTCAATACATGACATTTACTTCAAAGTTTTTTTATGGCATTTTGTAACGTGTACCATCATTTGTTTTACCAGTATTTGCCTCAACTAGCTTCATCAGCCTTGCACACATCAGCGCGATTGACCTCTCTTTCTAGGGCCAGTCCATAGTTTACTAGGTCTATCACAGTCATGCAAAAGCAATCTGTTTTTACTAAATTATTTTCCATAGTAGTTTGACTTTCTAACAGTTGAATTAAAAAGGTAAAAACTGACAATGGTGATAAGCGATGATACAACTTACTAGGCTAATTCCAGGTCGCTCAATAGCAAGGCATACACATAAAGTTAAAACTGCCGGATTGGACTAGCACAGGTAAATCTTTGGGTCTGATCTGCCACAGTTAAAACCACATATTCTATACTAACACACATTTCTCACATAAAGATAAACCTTTAGTCTTTGAAACTACGGTAAAAACTATGTGTTAGTGCATTTGATCTGACAGTTTTATAAGCGGGTTCATCAAAACTGTGGTCTTTCGTCGAGTTGAAAGTTTTAATGTCGCTTTTAGCATATATACAATACTACTAATACATTTGCATTCGAATATCCATTTGATTTACAGTAGGTAACTAAATTGTCATAAGCCCTGCTTGCCTTCAAATTTTTGTTGGTGTATTCTTTACATTTTATTTGCCACAAACAAGGATGTTCCCTGTATATGGAGATAAATCCTTCGATAAATTCCCTTGACACATTTTGATCTTAAAACAAATATATAAATTAAAATTTTATATATANCGGCGTGTTACCATGTAGACTACAGACTGCAACCAGAGATATAAAGTTTAAAGTAACTCTATACATATCTGGTTTATAACTTTTCTCTGTTGCAAAGCTGCAAACCTCAGAGTAATAAATAAAGTGGAGACCGCTTTCCCTATTTCAGTACACAGTGTAAACCTCAGAGTAGTAAATAAAGTAGTCTGAGTTGCAAACTTTAAGATGTATGGATTTTGGTTGGATGCTTCTGTTTAGTTAACCTAAAAAAATCATGTTTAGTCTCAAACGAATTTGTTCCATATTAACGACTGTAAGAAATTGTAGGACCAAACATAATAGCACCGAGGTAAGATTTTCTAATTATATTTAAAATCATTTATTTATTTTTTAATTTATCATATTTTTATAAAGCCGTGACTGTGGTCACTCGCCAAACAAACACGTGACATTATTATGTCTCTAAAAATATTTACGAATTTAATTTATCATATTTTTATGATCAGAACTTATTTCTATTTTAGAATGTTATTGTGAGTAAAAAACTAGAAAATTTTCGAAATTACAGCAGTGGTGCTCCATTACCAAAACAAAAACCTCCTGGTAAAGGTGTCGGTCCAATATCATGGACAAACTTAGCCATTACATCAGTAATAGGCAGCGGTCTTCTTGCATTTATGTGGTATATAAAGAAAGAAAAAGAAGAAGGTAGCTATAAGTACATTATACTTCTAAATTAAATAGTAAATTGTGTCTTTTAGCACAAATGAGGGAACGAAAGCGTATGTTGGGAAAAGCTGCAATAGGTGGAAAATTTGAACTAGTAGACACTAATGGAAAATTACGGACAAGTGAAGAATTTCTAGGAAGCTGGCTATTAATATACTTTGGATTTACACATTGTCCTGATATATGTCCAGACGAATTAGAAAAAATGTCTGTAGTTATTGATAACTTAGGTTGGTTTATCAAAGAAATTACAAATTTTATTCTGAAAATTTTCTACATTTTATGCATTTTAATATGAAATTTACTTTTACGAAGTTAATATAAATATTGATTGTTACATTTATCTTCATTTTTCTGGACTATTTTTATTTATAAATAATATATANGACACATTTTGATCTTAAAACAAATATATAAATTATAATTTTATATATATATATATTTAGGTGTTTGTACTGCACGCTCTATCAGATATTTATGCAAATTTTATCTAATATTTTATTATTATTTCCCCGGAGTCTTTACTTACCAGCAGGTAAGTCTCCAGATTTTATTTTACTTTTTTACTTTTTAAGAGTCCGCAGAAAAAACTGACTGTTAGTCTTCGCATTAAAACTGCAGATCTACACTTGTAAACAAATCACCACTAACAGCCAGTTTATCTGTCAGTTTTAACCGTGGCGGTCCAAATCCCGTAGATAAAACTTTATGTGTATGCCCTGCTAATGGCAGTGTAAACAAGAATTTAATTGAAGTTTAAAAATCGAACTATAACAATTGTTTGATTAAAAAAAAAAAGAATTTCAGATTAGTATTCTAGGTAACACAAACTATTACCCCTAACATTTTATTACTCATATGGGTTTGAGTCTCTCCAACATGAGAATGTCAAAAATAAAAAAATATATCAGAGATTTGCGTACATCGCCCCCTAGTGAACAACTTTTTTCTAATCCTGTACCTTTCATTGTTTTTGATAAACATTCTTATACCAGATACAATGTATAATATTAAGAAAATCGAGCTTCTTATAGTTGCAAATATAGATACCTACTTTCTACAATTAGTCAATAAGTATTTCAATCCATCTTCTTGAATTCCTGTCGACATGGCAAAATTAATAACCTCGATGTCCTTATTTCCTGACAAGGCTATCAGGACATCGTCATTCACAGGTACATTTTCCAAACTCAATTTTTTAAGACGTCTACATTTACCAAACAACATGGCAAGGCTTTCAGGTGAAATATATGCCATGCTTAGATCCAGATATAGTAATCGAGATTTAAAATCGGGATGTGCTGCATTCATATTTGGTAATATTGGAGGGTTACAAATCTGAAGAAACACGGCTATTAATAACAATAGAAATACAACAAAAACTTCTTTACCTCTGTTCTGGCTAATCGTAATATGATCACTTGTTTACTAAGAATTTTTCCCAGTTCTCCTGGTTCCAAATGTTTATTCGAGACATCCATTCTTGTCCACAGACTTTCATCCTGAGATAACCTATGAAATCGACGTGATACTAAGGCAATGTCCATTAAGTAAACTTTTGGCAACCACCTAAGTATGTGCAGTATAACTTCATCTGATAAGAGGTCAAAATAGTCTAAAACATTTAAATAAGTTTAAATTCTTCTTTATAAGTATACACCAATTTGATAAGCAAAGAAACTGAAGTAAACTTAATGACCATTGTTACTCTTGTATTGTAATTACTGAGATGTCCTGTAATTCCAAAAGTATATAAACAGTTAAATCTGTGTTATAATTGTAAGCTGGTATGTCCATGGATGAAGATGAAAAGAGGGAAAACTTTTTCATTTTTCTTTATGAGAATCATTCTTAGAAAATTCTGCTTGTGTTTAAATGTACAAAAATGTAATTTAAAGTAGGCCCACATATACATCGTGACCCCAACAGAGATATAATTTGAAGTAATAGTTGATTTTATTCTTAACTATCATCTTCCAGCATTTAATATACATGGCTGGAAAATCCACATGGTCCATCTGCCTTTACATGAGAGCGACAAAGTAAAGAAATAAATCTGTGGGATAGACAAGGATAGCTATAGTGAAGACGTTTCATAATCTGAATAGACACCGCTCGTTTTGGGTTAGAAGTGGGAGTGACTATTCAGATTATGAAACGTCTTCAATGTAACCATCCTTGTCTATCACACGGATTTCTATGACTAACTTTATCGCTCTCACGTAACGGCCGATGCACCATCGGGACTTTCCGAACCTGTATATGTGGTGTCCAGACTGTCTTAACCACAGATATCAATAACAAAGAATTTTTAAGAAAAATTTTTTAAGTTTTGGAAACGATTCAGTAGGATTAAAAAGTAATTTACATATTTATCTCTGAAAAATTAAGTAGCCCTTGTCAAAAACAAAAAAAATGTATGTTCGTATATCAAATTTGTAGACAATGGGCCTATTTTTACATACTTATTTTGTTTTAATACATCACTGATTTGCAAAATTAAAATTGACTCCCAATATACTTGGTACATTAATATACATTTTAATTCTAAACATCCCGTCCCGATTTCTTTCACAAAAAGGTTACATACACTAGATGGAGAAATTGAGAAAATATGTGCTTTCATAAATAAAAATATGCTACAGGTGATTTTAGCAAATTTATCCCCCAAAATGTCAAATCTGTTGAAAAATTATCTTTTATCAACATTAACATCAAAAAGTAAAAACGATCTGGGACATCTTGTATATGGAAAATGGTGGAGAAAAATTAACTATTTAAAAGATTCTTAATTATGTATTTGTCAGTTATTGGCCTACTTAAAACATTTATATAAATTTGAACACAAGCAAACTTTTTTAAAAAAATTCATAAAATGAAAAATAAAAAAGTTTTTCCATTTTTCAACTTCATTCCAGGCATATCGTATAGTTGAAAATTAATAATAATAAAATGAATATTATTTGAAAATATTAATCTCATTTTTTAAAAATATACAAATAAAAATATTACAAAATTTCATTTATAATACAACATAGGTAAATAAACATTTTTTAACTTTTTTTCTCAAAAGTGGAAAAATACCCAAAAAATTACAAAAAAAAAATATTTTTGTACAGTGGACCAAGTCCACACTTAAATTAAGTTTTACCGAAAATCAAAAAAAAAAACTGAACCTGAGTATTTTGATTTGTTTAAGAGTTACAAACTGTTTTTCAATTTTAGCCATTTTCTATGATGCCTTATAACTTTTTTTATTTATGATTTTTATAAAAATATTTTTTATTCAACTGATTTCTTGACATAATCAAGTTTGTCACGGATGCATTTGAAATATCGATGAAAAAATAAAATGTAGGGTACACTGATTTGTATCACATATCGCAAATCATTTGAAATGAAATTTTCAGCAGATTTAAAAAATTTAAAAATATACATATAGGGTGATGCATTTCAAAAATTATGTTTGTCTTATAGCTTATAAAAAACCGGAAGTTATAGAAAAATATGGCACACTTAAAAAAATATTTACATACCTAAATAAAAGAGTTATAGAACGCCATAAAACAATCAAAACTAAAAAAAAAAAATCTTGTAACTTGTAAGTCTCTCTTAAACAAATAAAGATGCCAAAATGCAGTTTTCGCCATTCGACTTATTTCGAAAATTGAACCTGCCACATATAAGCTAAAGTCTGTTTGGAAATGAGAGTAATAAAACCCCGAGATAAGAACCGGCCATGGGCGTGGTAATATTTCGTTTCAGGTAATTATCGGGTAACACTAATGCTAACAAAAATGACAGGGATTGGAAAATCGACTATCTACAGACTTTTAAAAGAAACAAAAAATTAACAAGATACTGTAAATCCCCCAAAATCATCTACGGGGAGGTCAAAAGTCGTTATAGATGATTTCTTCAAAAATGTCAATCGCAGAAAAGTACAGTCATTTTATTTTAAAAAAGANTATTGAATTAAATGAAGCCTATATTAAAATTGTAATAAAACCGTCATTATAAAATATTTATTTATGAAATTTGGCATGAAACCGTTTTAGGGGATGCAGAATCCAGTGCCGTAGATAGATTTTAAATAAAAAAATCGCTAAACAGTTTTTGTAAAATTTGACAGTGAAAAAAATTCATAGTAGGCCTTGAAAATCAAAATTTCACCTTCTAATTTTGCATCATGAGAGTGCTTTTGGAGATCTATCTTTTAAAAAAAATCCGGTTCAAATCGGTCCAGAAACAACTTTTGTACGCGAGTGTTTCCATTTGAAATGGGTCACACTGTATATTCTAAACTATAAAAATGTTAGAAAGTAATGTTTAAAAATATCTACTCACGCAGAGATTATTAAAATGATAAATAATTCAAATATATAATATTGAGTTAGAGGATAGAAGTCAAATTAATATACCGATGACGTATTCTACTTCAGATATGCTGCAATAGTGCAATACATTGAATAACAATATCAATATTTTTAACCTTTTTTGGGGATCTTTTTTGGATCTGTGCAAATAACCAAATGACCGGATTTTAACCGTGACATATAATTTGCGCCTGATTACACTCCTGTACTATTGATTTTATAAGCTACGCTATCTATATTAAATGATTATACTCAAAATAAAAACNACCAGTACTACATTTATTTACGATTTGCATACATAATAAGCTTTTATTACTCTCTTTCATTTCTAAACAGACTATAGGTACTTTTTTTTCTTTCTCTTTGCGAAATAAGAAAAACCACCCGAAAGTTGTGAATTTGACCCACCCTGTACAATAAAAGAAATATTACTTACTCGTTTTATCCATTGATCGAATCATTGGCTTTTTCACCAGTAAATTATCCCATTCTCCCAAAGACAATTTATCTAAGGATTCTTTAGTAAGGGTTGACTCTAATATGCCTATCTAAAAAAATAAAAATAAAACATGTTTATCTGTAGTATATGGTAATCATCGAAATTTAAACCTGGTGGTATTTCATAATCTGGAACAGACCATAATTTGAAGGCTTGTCCCTCTGTCTCGGTAATCTCAAAACAAAAATTACTATTACGAAAGTTTTATTATTTTGACAATGATAGTTGTTTAACTACATATTACATTACTGTATTTTATTATTCTCGCCAAATATTTAAAACATAATGAAAAATATAATTTAAGGTGTTCTCCTGCTCCAAGTACACTGAGACAGAGAAGAGGCCGAGTGGGACAATGTCCTAAAGGTCTTTATCTAGTTGACTAGTGTGTGTCTCGGTGGGTTTAAATTTCGATGATGATAATATACGAGTATTGTTTTTTTTTCTCTAATATACAATAATAAAAGTAATAGAAATTTTATACTAATACTATGTTAGTTAATTAAAGAGGAAATAGTCAAGTTTTTCTTTTTCAATCTATTTCAGAATAAACTAGACATTACAATATACTGATCCTGATTTGAAAACCACCTGTTGGACTAATTTCAATTAGAAGTTCATGGAGTTCATCATGGAATCAAAGATTAATTACAGAGGAATTAAAATATATGTATCATATCAAAGAACTGGTTCTAAGTACTGGCAGCAAATACTATACTTAGTTGCATCTCTAATGCTGTAGCTGTTATACCTCTTAAAACTAATTTTGAGAAATAGCAAAGTAGCCAGTGCCATGAACTTACTTGCTTATTCCTACTATTTGGTGTCATAGAAGCGCAGGACACATCTATAGCTCTTGGTTCACTTTTATTAAATATCGTATCATCATCGGTAACTACTTCCTCCACATCACAGTCTAAACGTCCTACCCCATTATCGTAAATATCATGCAAAACTACATCACTTCTATTCAAACTCCATCTACCATTCTTATTTACTTCATCCACATCTTCATCATACCTTGCTCGTTTGCTATTAAGAACATTAGAGTTAAAATGTTGAAATAAATGTTAATTATTTTACTTACCGCGCTGGTGATCTATCGATGTTTACATCTACAGGTTGTAGTACACTGGACATATTCGGAAGTAATTTTAATTTATCTCAAAATCCAACTTTCCACATCGTTCTCGTTCCCTCCAAGAAAAATATGAAAACAGGAATATGAAGAAACTTTTATTGGGAATTTTGTAGCTTCGCTTTTGGTAGCATTGAAATAAATCTTGCTGATAAGTTAGGCTTCATTTTTAATTTTTTTTACATTTAAAATTAAATATTAAAAAATATTATTAAAATATTTTAATTAAATTTTAAATTATATAAGTTATAACATTTTTATTTCAATATTTTCAAATGACAAGAAGCATTTTCATATACCTACATATTCTACATACAATATCACTACAGTACCATCTATCTTCTCAATTAAAAACTAAGATATGATAAAAAAAAATCTGCAACCTATTATTTGTTTTGTGCCTGTTACCATGGCACAGACAATAAGACAAACGCGGAGAAACGGTTTGACGTGGCCCTGCCCGCTAACCTTTTCTGTTTCAGAGACAGCCAGGATCAAGAAACGAAGACAACGACACACACACACACATACACACCCCCCATACCTTCCTTAACCCTCCCCTCCCGCGCTAGCCTAAGGGCCACCTTAGCAAAGCGCATCCCAGGCTGCATAGCCGCACTACCCTACCCAACCATACCACACATAAACATGACACTACCCCCGGGGTTTACACAGACGAGCCGGCGAAGCAAGAAGAGCGCCAGAAGAAAGGGCCCTAGCCGGCGGGGCCCAGCCAGGACAAAAGGAGGTCCCACAAAGCGCCTACACCGGCCGCATTTGCGGTCGGGGTAGACGACGGATGGGGCCCACCTACGAAGGCTGTCCAGGCCTACACGAGATGAGGCAGGATAAAGAGGGATAATCCCCCTCGATCCCAAATCATTGAGGCCAATTTCTAG